TCGGCCAACCTCGGAATGAATGCAATCTGGGACATACTAACAGACTCTGTCTACCCATAGATTCCGTCGCTCATGCTCGAGCCAATCCACTACAAGCCATCTCTACTACAGTAATGACCCTGAACAATGGAATTCTGGGGCAAGTTCAGCAGACCACGGTCCCTCGCATTATTTTCAACCCCAAAGTCGCCATAAATCGCCTTCACAATGGTATGATTGATAAGTATTACTTTTATTCTCTTTCCACATATTTTATGAGGGAGGTCGGGTAACCTATATCAAGTATCCTCTTTCATCCTAGACAAATGTTAACAATTAATAATTGTTAAGCTTTTTCAAGTCGACATCAAATTTTCTAATTCATATTATTTCTATACTTTTGTTTACACGTGCTTCCATTAAAAAATATCTTTTTTTTCAAATTTTATTACTCTTCTCATACTCTTTTTGGATTCTGCTTTTTCACTATCTTCTTAAGGCCTCACTCAGGCACGCTGCATCGGGAACGGCTGTAACCGACTTGAGGGGACAAAATCAGATTTAGCAGCCTATGTTAGAAACGGTACAGATGAAACTCGAGTCAGCGACGAAAAGCATGCCAGTTCGCCTAAGTTACAGTCCTCCAGACAACTAATTTCTCTGCCCGATGAGGATAGTGATTCTGCTAAGAGAAATGGTACACTTCATTTGGTGAGCAAACTTCACTGTTCCTCAGGTGGCTCTGGTACTGGAGAAGGCGATAATTCTATTAGTGTTGACAGCAAAGTCAAGCTTAAGCCGCCTTCCGGGGCTCTTTTCGATTCTTCCCAAATTTCCTCAAAGCCAGAGTTTTCATTACCCCACAGTACTGGCAGCACCTTTTCTTCCATGAAACGACTCAAGCTTGGTATATTAGATGCGCCCAGGTCGAGCCGAATTATCTCAGATAATACATCAACTGAGGAAAAGCCTGATATTATTGATGAGATAAAGAAAGGCTTTTCAGAGAAAGAAGATATTCGTGAACTTCAAATTTCTCCAAACTCTTCTTTTCCTTCAAAGCAAATTAAACAAAC